GAGGTTCGTCTCGTTTTTCGTTTGTTTGCTCAAAAAGTAGCTGCACTGTCAGCGCCTGCAAATCGATATTACTTGGGTAAAGGAGATCCCGCTGGGGACAAGACAAGCTATGGGTTGAACAAGCTAGGCGGTTTCAGCATGCGATCTCATTTTCCTTCCTCTCTTTTCTTTTGAAACACTGTGTATAACGACATACTAATGAAGCAGAAATGTTCCGGTCAATCCCTCACGGAAGCGCCACGTGCACGACTCCAACTTCAAAATGACTTGAACTTGCAGAGTGCACCCTTGAATGTGTGTCTGCGCTCTGCAAGTTCAAGTCATTCTACCTACCCTGTCATAGCCAGATGAATCTGGTACCTGTAACTGTTGTAACTGAGCGTGCTGGTTGTATGAGAATCGCTGCACCTGAAATTCTGCGACTGAAAAACGCAAGGATCCTACGGTGCTGGGGAAGGAGCACGAGTCCGTGCGATAACAGCTTTGTAATCCCACTTGTTTGCGTTCTCCTACAAAGATGGTGAACCGTTTTCCACAAATAGATCCGTCTTCAGAGCGTCAAACGACCAGAGTGGGAACAACCTCGTTTCCTCACGTACTCCCTACCCCCACTAACTACTGCCATCGTGCCCATTTATAATTGTATTCGTATGGCTCAAGGGAATCCATGAGCTTATGATGTTCGGGCGCTAAGGCGGTACGGGCACCACTACCAACGCCTCCGTACCTCTTCCTGTAATCAAGGCTTAGGTTTATAGTTCGCGTAGACTATGCCTTCTCTGAGGGAAGATCTCTGGACGACTCTTGTCATCTGCACTCTGAGCCTAAGCCTTCTTGGAGGAGGGATTTAGAGCCGCATCGCAGCCAAGTGGCCACTTTTTACTCTGCTTACCTCCCCCTCCCCCCTCCCCATACATGTCTGCACCACCCATTCTTTCTGTACCATGAGACCTGGCCCATTTCTTTACAGGTTCAGCCCTAGCGAGGGGAAAATCACTTTTGCAGGCAAGCAGAAAAGGTGCTGCTTTTGTCTCGCTATGTTTTCCTAACTAGCACAGTGCTTGGCACGGAGCCCCTATAGTCTACGCGCCACGCGCATCGGGGTTGAAACAGGTATTGAGACCATGGCCTGTAACGCGTCTCGCGCCG